CTTCGTCCATTGACCAACATTTCAAACATCTTAATCTATTTCTTGAAGTCACTCGACGTAACGGTCTGGCTGTCTCTAAACCAAAACTTTGTCTTTTTCAAACTAAGATACGTTTTTTGGGTCACTACATTAGTCAAGGAACAATTGTTCCAATAGAAAGATCGCTTCAATTTGCAGATAAATTTCCTGATCAAATTTTAGATAAAAATCAATTACAACGGTTCCTGGGTAGTTTAAACTATGTCCTTGACTTTTATCCCAACATCAATCTTCTTTGTAAACCTCTCCATGATAGATTGAAAAAGAGCCCCCCTCCCTGGAGTGACCAGCATACCAAAATAGTTCAGCAAATTAAGAGGCAGGTTCAGAGTCTCCCATGCCTTCACATAAGTGATCCTTTTCTCCCTAAAATCGTCGAAACCGATGCCTCTGACCTAGGATACGGAGGAATCCTTAAGCAGATTCAGAATGATAAGGAGCCGTTAGTACGCTTTACTTCTAAACATTGGAACCCTACCCAAATCAACTACTCCACTGTCAAAAAAGTAGTGCTTGCTATTGTTTTATGCATCTCAAAATTTCAGCATGATTTGCTCAATCAAAAAATTTTACTACGCATTGATTGCCAATCAGCAAAATACATTTTGGAAAAGGATGTTCAAAACCTTGCTTCTAAACAAATATTTGCACGATGGCAAGCCATCCTTAGCATTTTTTATTTCGACATACAATTTATAAATGGTTCTTCAAACTCTCTTCCAGACTTCCTTACTCGGGAATTTTTGCAGGGAGGACGAAGTGCGGAAAACTCTCAGGCTTGCAATCTCCAGTCATAATGCCCCCTACCATTAGATTGCGAGATAAAGAGAAAATCAAAATCAAAACATGGAGAGAGATATTTGATATGAACAAGGAAGCCCTGATCATTCAAGTGAGTATGAAGAAAGTTCTGATGATTCTGGTTCACACTCAAGTTCATCCAAAGCTTTAATCAATATTGATAAGCTTCCTCTTGAAGCCCAAAATTACCTTCAAAAATATATTGTCGTTTCTGGTTCTAAACAAAAGCTTCCCACTGAAGCTTCAACTTCCTCAACAATTCCCCTTCTTAACTAATTCTTTCAAATACTCAAACGCCAAGTGGCATCCTACCCACACCCATCTCTTCCGAAGAAACCAAACAAATCTATCAGCAACATCATCTTGATGTCGCACCTACATCAACAGAGGTGGCATCTTCGATAGCCCCTCTCAAAATCGTTTTTCCCAAAACTCAAGAGGTGGTGGTTGTCCAAGCCCCTCAAAATCGATTTCAAACGTATTTTAAGAAAAACACTTTTCAACCCATTTTCGTTGTCGAAGATGATTTCTACCATCAATATCCAAATGTTACTGCCAAACATTTCCTCAATGAGTGGTTCTTCAAACCAAGATCCCTCAACAAAACCCACAAATATTATGAACTTATCCTCACAGAAACTGGATCAGTCACCTTTTCCCACAAATTTAATCCTTCTGACAAAACTATATATATATATATATAATGGTTCAGACTAGTGTACATCATGCGTACATTGTATGCACATCGAGTTTTACTATTTAGGATATAGTATCATGCACCAAACTCCGGTTAATTCGTTGTATAAATAGTCAAATTCGATGGGCGTACAATGTACGTCACACGTACGCTAGCCTAACCTGTAATTGATAAACTCGAGGTCCCAATTCTATAAACTCAAACCTGAAGTTCAATTTCATAGAAAATAATAATTGACAGTTGGGCGGAGCTCATCAAATTACATCTAACGGTCAGATCACCTGGAGTATACTATACTCCTATAGTTTACCAATCATTACCATATATATTATCACTACAACAATTTTCGACTATTATGACATCACTATTTTGTCATAATAGGCCTAGATTTCGTCACAATACATTTATTATGACAAATTAATTTGTCACAACTTTCGTCAAAAATACCTCGTCGAAACAACTCTATTATGACGAAAGTTTACCACCCTGTCACAATATGTTTCAATGGCAAGATGGCCGACTTTTGTCAATATAGGACACCTATTTTTACAAATATTTTTGTCGTAATAAAGAGAAATTTTGTCATAATAAATCTAAATTTTGTCACGATAAATACAATTTATGATACGATGTTGTGACAAATAATACAGTTGTGACGAATGACTTTTGTCACGATAAATACAATTTATGATACGATGTTGTGACAAATAATACAGTTGTGACGAATGACTTTGTAATAACAGTTTGTATAATAACTAATAAGGGGTTATTGTGACGTCAAAGTTTTTGTCAAAACATCTGATATGGGTTGTTGTGACGAAAGTTTGTCAGTCACAATACTTTTTTCATGACAGACCATGTTGTCATAGTTACGAGATAGACTACTTTGTATAATTTGTGACGAAACCATTTTTGTCATGACATATTTAATACGACAAATTCTGTTTACCAACAGCCTGTTTTTTCTTCTATATTATGTGACTTCGTGACAATTTATTTTGTCATTATATATGTATATTATGACAAATCAAAATCAGTCAATATCTAGATAATCTGACATCCTGATTTTGTCAACATATCTGAAAGTTCACGAATATTGCTACCAACACAAAATGTTCAACAACCTTGGTCATAATCCTTAAATAAATAACAATGGTGCAAACTAACATAACATTCTGCCTCCATCAGTTCCACTATCACAGACAACCCTACAACAAGTCCATCTGAAAATGAAAGTTCTACTGACTACCAAACTTTCTAACAAACCATCCCTGCATGCCTCCACTGTCAATGCCCATCCAAAATAAGGTGATGACAGTTCAATCAAGAACTTCTCACTTCCTGAAAACTACATGTACCGATGAGAGAAACAACGTTAATTCTTATTCCACCACACTTAATGAAAACTAATGATGTATATATATACCACCACACTTAACGAAGATGGGGCAGTATGTAGTGGAGTAAATAGAACATTCTTCACATTATCTGTAAAGGTTTGTAAAAGCATGACAAGAATAAATGTTTTTCTTCGGAAGTTATTACCTTCAAACTAAGTTGATCTTTCATTAAGCTTTTGAGCTAGGGACTCCACATAGTCCTTCAGACTGTCCTATGACTCTTGTAGCTTGTGGATAATCTCCTTCTGAGTTTGAATCTCCTGTTGCTGCTCTTCTGTTTGCTGCTGTTGGGATTGTATCTGTTCCTCAAACTCTTGCCTCTGCCTCTCCCCTTCAACCAATGAGTTCTCCAAACGCGTTTCTAGGTCTTTCTCTCTTTCGGAACTTGGTTTCTCTTTGTTGATGTAACTTGGTGCTTTCTGAAGCACCATCTACACTATCTCAGCACTAGATAATGGGCTCCCCTTCTCTACAGCTTCAGCATAAATCCTCTTTATTTCCTCCTGCAAAGATAGTAGAACCTCAATTTATTTATCAATACAGGACTTAGAACTTTGTAGCCTAAACACTAAGACATAACACTCTTACATAGTTTTGTTGTCGTTGCTCATTAACTCAACTGCCATCACTTCTCCTATGTGTGTCAGCATACACTTTTATCTCCTTTGGCACTTCTTCCTCCACTGCAGCAGATTGTTGTTCACTACTGTTCTCCTCGTCCGGATGGTTTGTGGCTTGCTTCACTTTCTCCTATAAACATAAAAATAACATGCATGAGCTGTGAAAAGACAAAAAAAAAAAACAGTTTTGGAATTGGGTTACGATATGAATGTACAAGAATTTACCATTTCATACATCCTCTGGCTACAAGATTTACCACCGGTAGTATGTGCATATGCCTGCATACTCTTGTTACGCTTATAAGCGACACTTTGCTTCTGCAGAGAATTATATGTACACATGATCATTCATTGGATGCATTGTGGGTCTACACTAGCAAATGCAGCAGTATGAAAAAGTTTGAAACAAAGTTATGGAGTTGTTGGCAGGGGGCATCACCTTAAACCTTGGGCTCTCAAAACGCTCGAACAGACGGACCCAATCATCCATGTTTATGTTTCAGGCGGAGTCTGGCGAGCATTGGCAGCACCTAAGTTCTGGTAATGCTCATGACAGTGGTGCTTGAAGTTTGTGAACCGCCTGGACAAGGAATAGTCTATAGCATTCTGCATATCATCAGTCATCGAGATATCAAACTCGGACTACAAACCAGAACAACATATTAGTGGAATAAAAAATATGAAATAATCCTTTGTCAATTAACAAATTATTAGAGTGTACCTCTAGTTTCGCATAAATGGGTTGTTTTTCCTCTCCTGTCACAGCTGACCAATAGAGCTTACCAATAGGCGCCATCATCTTGCATATCACTCCCAACTCCATCTTAAAATTTTTCTCATTAGTGCCAACTACCTTTTTGTCTCCTTGTGCAACCTCAATACCGCCAATCTTACTGCCATCTCGAGTTCTCTTAAGTACCTCAAGACCTTTGGCTTTTCCGCGTCCTTTCTTCTATGGTTGGCCTGTTATACAATTATATTCATCATGTAGCATATATATGATCATCATTTAATGGTGAAGTAATGCATTAAACAAAAGAAAATAGCCACGGTTAAATACCTAGAACTGAACACAAATTGATGCTTCTTTTAATGGATGGGGCTGCAGAATGAAGATGCAGATCCAAAGTAGTAAACACACATCGCACAAAACAGCATAAAACACCAAAGCAAATAATTGTTTTAAAAAGTAATTACTTAATAAAATCCATCTGCACTTAAATTGAAAGCTAGCTAGTTAACGCACCAATAAAAGGGAAATTAAACAATGAAAACAAAAAATCTCCCTACCAAGTACCAAACTACCAGTAACTCTACAAGTCTAGGACACATGATTCACTTCTTGCTGGGGGTGTTACAAGTTTGACACTACCGACGGTTTATCATAATCTAGTAAGAGAATAATAAAAAAAAACAAAGGGCTGCTAGCTAGCAACCAGAGCTACCAGTAAATTCATCATCACAAAACACATATATTGTTGATCACAGCTTACTTAGTTCATTGACATCAGCTGCCGTTGCATCCATGTTGTTTGATCCATCAGAACCAGTCTCAGTCACTGTTGGAATTTCTCTTGGGAGCTCGGAACTCTGTAGCTCCTCCGTGGTTTCAGTTGCAGCAGCAGTCTGATGCGAACTTCTTCTCATCCTTGTTGTTTGGGTTTGACGCATTGTAGCTGTCTTTCTTTTCCCACCTCGACTTGCTCCTGGAGACATATCTAAACACACAAATGTGTCAGGGTTGAGAATAAATGCTTGTATAATAATGTTCTGTCTAAATGACAGCATACCACATTCAAACAGTAGATTATATCATGGATAATAAGAGATTATATATGCTTGTATAAGAAAGTTGCGTCTGAATCATATAAATGCTTGTATAGAAAAGCAGAAGTGACAATTACAAATCCAATATAATTTGGTGTCCACTAGGCAAAGTTAATGCAAAAATTGACAATTAATTATCGTCCTCTTCTTCGCTGTTACAATTAGTGGCCTCATTTTCCATTGAGGGACCAGTAAGATCATCTTCCATATCCACCTCCTCTTCATTTGATTCTTCATTGGCCATATCCCCCTCCTTATCAACCTCGGGAAGTACCTCTGCACTGGCCAGTAACTGCTCCATAACTGAAACTTCGTGCTCATTGAGAGTAATTGGAGCCGCATCAGTACGACTCAATGAATGGATCTCATCGGTGTCTAACACAATAGTGTTCAGGTCGATGCTTTCATCTTGTTGGAATGGCTCACTATCATAAACGGGATCTTGATCCTTACCATCCTCCATCTCTGGAACGTCATATACATGCCTAGGGGATACTCTATGCACTATACGCCAACTACCACCATTTCGCAAATCCTCAATGTAAAACACTTGCTTAGCTTGATAGCTAATATATATGGGTCAATGGTCATGAGGGTACCATTTTCTGCCTATATTGACGCTAGTTAGAAAGCCATCAGACCTAATCCCATTTATTTTATCCCCTACATCCCACCGGTCACATTTGAATACATAAACGTGACAACCATAACAAAAATGGAGTTTCAGAATGTCAACGAGCACCCCGTAGTATTCTATAATTGCTCCATTGTGTTCACCCTCAACAATAACTCCACTATTCTGAGTACGACGATCTTTGTCTACGTCATAAACATGAAATTGAATCCCATTTATAATGATTCCAGTATATCTAGTAATTCTTTCATCTGCACCAAGTCCTAGACTATATAGATGGTCACTTTTTTGAATTTTTCTAGAGCAACACAGTTGTGTAACCTATACAGCAAAAGAAAAGAAAACATCAAGCAAGTCAAATATGTAAGGAGCTATCTATGCCACATCTGTACAAAACCATCTATCATAACTGATGTAAGGGGAATGAATTTATTCTTACATATGTTTTCAACCATTTTGGGAAGTTAGCTTCAATGAATTCTGCTGTACTATTAGGATTAGTTAACTTCAATTCTTCTGTATATATGCTGCATGCAGTTTGTATGTTAGAATATAGCAACATTCAATAGGAAAACAAAAAATACAAGTATAGGTCAGCTCACTTACTTCAAGTACTCATCGATCTCCTCGCAATTATTTAGAATCTATTTTTCAATCTTAGTGAATTCAGTTACGGGCAAGATTGCAGTCTTGGCCCCTCCTAGTGGTCTAGTCTTATTTTTAAAAATAGAGAACCCATTCGATTCCATGTCTTCACAACGCTCATCATTTCTGTCTGCACGAGTTGCTCTTGTTTCAACCCCTTGCAAATATTTGGCACAAAACTCCGAACATTCTCCAGCTATAGATCCCTGATCAAGACGAGCTTTATTACTTACAAGATTTTTAAGGGTACCTAAGAACCTATTGACATTAAGATAAAAAATAAAATCAGAACTTAGTTTGTTAAAATTAAACAAAATTTCGAGAACCCAAACAGAAACAAAATGTGGTGAAGGAGTACCTTTCCATGGGATACATCCGCCTATATTGAACCGGACCACCTAGCTCTACTTCACGAGGAAGATGAAGTGCTAGATGCATCATAACAATGAAGAATCCAGGGGGATAAACCATCTCAAGTTTACACAGAATAAGGACTATGTTTGTTTTCAATTTTTGCACAGTGGACTTTCTTATAGTTTTTGAACACAACTCCTGGAAAAAGACACTTAATTCTGCAAGAACCACATAGATTTCTCTCTGCAATAACCCTTGTGCCACGACAGGCAACAATCACTGTATGAACACATGGTGATCATGACTTTTCATTCCAGAAATTGACCGACCATCACTAGTCACACAACGAGAAATGTTTGATGCATATGCATCTGGGAATTTAACAGATTGCAACCAGTCGCACACTATTCTTTGTTGGGAAACAGTTAATGCATAAGAAGCTTGAGGTAGGGTAGCCTTATCTCCATCTCTGTTCACATGCAGCTCCTTCCGAATTTCCATTCTCTCTAAATCCAATATGGCTTTAAGTGTATCTTTCATTTTCCCCTCAATATTCATCAATGTTCCCAAAACTTTCTCACTAATATTCTTTTCTACGTGCATAACATCTAAGTTATGTCGTAATTCAATAGTTTTCCAGTATGGTAACCTCCAGAAAGCAGCTTTTGTTTTCCAATTTAACTGGGTGTCAAAAGAATTCCTTTTCCTTTTCCGACTCGGATTAGTTGTTTCATCAGTTATAGCAACATTCAATTGGTTCAAAATTTCTTCTCCGGATAAAATTGGAGTCTTGCTTCTAAGATCTGCCTTACCATTAAATTTCTTACTTCTCCTCCATGGATGATCTTTCTCCAACCATCTACGATGACCCATGTAACATTCTTTGTTTCCACATTTCAAATTAAGTGCTCCCTATTGCAAACAAGACAAGCAAGCTTACCCTTAGTGCTCCAGCCGGATAACATTGCATATGCTGGAAAATCATTTATTATCCACAATAAAGCAGCATGTAGAGTAAAATTCTGCTTTTTGTAAGCATCAAAAGCTTTGACCTCGAGCCTAAGGAGAATGGAGGAGCTGGTATTCGTTCGTTGCGCCACTCCAATTCAACGCTCCTGGCTAAAAGCGGTTGGCGGGTGTTGCAAGAGAAAGATACCCTATGGACTCAAGTCGTGCGGGGGAAGTATGGACGGAATAGAGAAGGATTGTCAATCCTCGAGGCCAAACAGGGAAGTTCCTTTACCTGGAAAAGTATGACCAAAGCCACTCCTATTCTGAGGAAAGGATGCGCTTGGAACATTTCGAATGGAAAGAACACCAAGTTCTGGACTGACGTTTGGGCTTTGCAGGTACCCCTGAAGGAAGTCGCAGTGCTGCCAATACCTGAAGAGGAGGGCGAGAAACCAGTAGCTGCTTACATGAAAGACGACAGAGGTGCCAGCCTCCCTTTTCTATTGGACAAGAGAGGTGCCAGCAAACAACATGGTGGACTTTCTGACAGCGGACCTCGATCAGTGGATCCGCACAAATATCCTCAACACTCAGACGGACAGGAATGGCGTTCCTTGGGCCTCAAGCTTCAGCATTGCCCTGTGGACTCTCTGGAAGAACCGGAACGATGGAGCCTTCAGTGGTGGTAGCAAGTGTTTGTCCCCTCACTCTCTTCGGCATGCTATCCACCTTAAGGTCAACCTTTGGCACTCGGCATGGATGGCCCCTTCACCACTTCAGTTCCGTGGTAATCAAAAGCCGGACAGGGTCGAGACTGATGTAGGCTGGATTGCGCCACCTAGGGGATGGTGCAAACTCAATGTTGATGGAGCCTCGCAAGGAAACCTAGGGAAGGCGGCAGCAGGAGGAGTTTTTAGAGATGATCAACGACGCTGGGTGGGGGGCTTCTACCATGGAAACCATATCATTATCTAGAGTAGAATTATCAATCTCAAAATCATGAGAAAGCTAATCTGTACCACTATTGTTATCAAGATTAAAGAGTTCCCCGTGATGTATCCATGTAGTGTAATCCTCTACTATTCCATTCAAGAATATGTCAGCTTTGGCAAGTTGTATAGTTTTAAAGCAACAATTATTGCACTTTTTGCATGGACATCTGATTCTACCATGCCCATCAGCAGAATTAGTTGCTAAATGTATAAATTCTTCGACCCCATTCACATATTCCGTGCAAAATCTATCTTTCAACTTCAACCAATTTCTACTCATTTTCCCACTGCACTTAAAGTAGACTGACCTTTGTTTCTGATTTTCCTTTGGTATGGAAGAACTCTTGAGCAGCAACTGAAGATCAAGATGAGCCTAGTTCTTCACTTGCAAGATGAATCGATCAATTACTACTCCTGAGGATGACACCTGCACAATGACATAAATTCTGTGAATAATTACAGGAATATGAGGAGATAAGTCAAGAAGAGCAAGAAGAAACAAGGACTTTGCTCAAATTAATTGGAACGAGATGCCTTCTAAAGCAAGAGTACTGCATCTGGATTAAGCTATGCCTAAAGTAAAGCTTTGTGAAACAGGGGAGAAGACAAAAGCATTCCTCAATCAAGCCACTAAAGGAAACGAAGTGCCCCATTTTCCCACTTTCTACCACAACCACCAGAAATCCACCAACCAGCCAATTATAGACTGAGAAACACAGTCCAAAAAACACAGTGCGTGAAAAGACAAGGAATGGCAACAGATCGCAAATCATGCATAGTTAAAGGCATTTTCAACTCTGTATCTACATCAAAACTAGGTATAGATGTTGAAATGGGGAAGAACCTTCCATTTAGAAATAATGATAAGCCATCTAGGATTAATGTTAGGATTTGGAATTAAGGAATTCCGCCATTGAAAGAGTTTACAAAGGTGGTACCAATTATCGGGACCAACTATAGATGCAACATAGAGTGAATGGAGGGTTCAACTTGATGCACGAAGGACTTCAAGGGAAAATTGGATGTTTCTATATCTAGCTACCAAGATTTCATTGGCCTTATTCTATACAAGCGGCACAAAAGAAGTTGAGGCATCAGCAGCCCAGGTATTCCCAAACCAATCTGCAATATTAAACAAGAGGAAAGATCCAATCCATGAAAGCAAAACCTGCAACCAATACTGATAATAACAACATGAAGGGTTCCTAAACCTAATCAGACCCTAGCAATCGACAACATTGGATTGAAAAATGGGGAGCAACACATCAAGAGGAAACCAACGAGAATCACAACAGAAGAAACTTTCACTTCAAGGCGAAGAGGAAGATAGCACAGTCGAATGACTTACAGGGAATGTAGCTCTTCTGAATCGGACTCTTCCTTGCACGCACTGCTCTATGAGAACGATTTGAGGATGTCGCTTGGGTTTTCTAGGGTTCAAAGCAAAAGTTACTGGGGAAGGAAAAGAAGTTCGCGAACAGATAATGGGATTCCTCTTTTTTTTTAAGAATGGGAATCCTCTCCTCTACCGCATACGAAAATGATTTTCTTTTGATAAACGCAAAGGATTTTTTTACAAATTACTAAAAGGAATTTGATTAAGAAAATAAATTAATAAATTGAGAACAAAAACATAACACTTCTTATTAATTAGAGAAACGTGATTATACAAACTTTCATTTGCAAAATTTTTAATTGAAAATTTGAGTAAACACATATGTTGTCTGTTCGTTAAGGGTGAGATACGAGTTAGATATACGACCCTCACAATCCTAATTAAGGTTAATCATGCTCTCCTTCTAAATGCCGCGGTTGAGGGAAATCGAATTCCTAAAAGAGACAATAACACAAATTTCTTCTACAATTTTCTAACGATGCAAAAATTTCCACTTCAAATCACAACAACAATATGACTTATGTGTTAAGGTGTAGTGTATCATTGTTCAATTAGATATGAGTCTCGATGATTGTATGTTTACTGATTGCCTTTACAATTTACCTCTAAGGTTTAGAATTTAGGTGTGAAGATTGTTTTTATCACAGTTTATGATTTTTGTCATGGAATACGGTTTTTGTCATGAAATAGGTTTTTTTTCATATTAAATGTGTACTTAACATTATTTACGACAACCTTGTTTGTCAGAACAAATAAACTAATATATATTGTGACACATGTACAAGTTGTCATAGTTAACATTTAATCTTTTCCTCCATAAGTTCCCGCCAATTCATATTTTGGCTAAGTAAAATGTGTGATATAAATTTATTTCATAATAAAAAATCACGAATCTATATTGTGACGAAATAATCTTTTTGTCACATCAAACATTTTCCAGATCACATTTTTTATGACTAAGTATACACACTCATACTAGATGAAAAGTCCTAATATTGTAACAAAATTATTTGTCATCATAAATATGACGTTTCAGATAATGTGATATATGCTATTTGACGAATAGGTTGTCACGTTTTACTCCAATTCTTCCTTCCCGGTGACCATATTTTGACAAAGTGGCATTGACATGATAGACTTGTCATAATATATACTTAATGTGACAAAACTCCAAGACAAATTCAGTA